AGTTATGGCCAAGGTCTCTGGCAATACTGTGTGATGCCATTCGGGCATAGCAATGCTCTGGCAACATATGAGAGGCTGGTGGAAAGGGCCTGGATCGCCTACAATGGAGGATAGCCCTAGTGTACCTGTATGATGTCATTGTGTTTGCAACCACGTTTGATGAGGAAATGTCCAGGCTAGAGGAAGTATTCAAGCGTTTAAAGCAGCAAACCTCAAACTCCATCCCAAGAAATGTCACTTGTTCCAGAAAGAGGTGCTTTACTTGGGTCACATTGTAAGTGAGCATGGTGTGAGAACTGATTCTTACAAGGTGAAAGCAGTGCATGATTGGCAAACACCAGATAATGTGGGAGAGTTAAGAAGTTTTTTGGGACTCTGTACCTATTACCAGAAGTTTGTGAAGGACTTTGCAACTATAGCTGCTCCACTACATGATTTGACCAAAAAAGGCCAGAAGTTTGAATGGACAGTTTCTTGCCAGCATGCCTCATCTCCACTTTTAAAGCTTCCAAATCCCTCACTGTCGTACATACTGGATTGTGATGCTAGTAATGTCGAAATTGGAGGAGTGTTGTCTCAGAAAGTGGGCGAAAACGAACATGTGGTGGCCTACTTCAGTAGGGTCCTGAGTAGACCAGAGAGGAACTACTGTGTAACACAGAGGAAACTCTTTGTTATAGTAAAGAGTCTGACATATTTCCATCCTTACCTTTATGGCGCCAGGTTTACCATGAGGACAGACCATGCTGCATTATGCTGGTTAATATCATTAAAGAACCCAGAAAGACAACTGGCACATTGGATCGGAAAGATAGACCAGTATAATTATGATATTGAATACAAAAAAGGAAAATCTCATGATAATGCCGACGGACTGAGCCGAAGACCCTGCAGAAATGACTGCAGACATTGCTGCAAAACAGAGGTTGAACTAACCAGGTGCCATCAAGCTGAAGTTAAAGTGACTGAAGGAGTTTATGATGGTGAAGTGGAACCAGGTATGGATATTAAAGCAAAACAGGAGAAAGACCAAGATTTGAAGTGAATAATTGATTTTCTACAAGCGTTTTTTACCCTGTTTGGGAGAAAGTGTCTAGCTTAAGCCCAGTGACAAAGAACTTTTGGGCAAAATGGGACCAGTTGAAGCTTCAAGATAGTATTCTTGTCCGGAAATGGGAAACTGCAGATGGTAAAGTGACGACCTGGCAACCAGTTATACCG